ACAAAAAAAATTCAGAGCTGTACGATTATTACTGGATAATATGTAAGTCTAATACTACAATACATATATATATTGTTACTTTTATTAAATTAATTCACTAAGCTATAAACAGGTTATTACTCTGAGAAGCATCACATTATAAAGCAAAAAGTTCTATTAATGAAAGTACCTGGGCACACAATATAATTAATCCAATTTGTCAATTCTTAATTTCAATTTATAGGATTTAAGAATCTCTTGGTAAATTTATTCTTTCGGATACTCAAATAAAAAAAACTTTATATTCATTACAATACTTATTTGTTACTATTAGGGATAATGTAATGAGTCAAGCAACACATGATAGGAATGATCTGGATGGACCAATCAAAAAACCAGATATCCTTGGAACGTGCTTTAGAATAAATGCACAATACAGCTGGGAAATGCTATATGGAGAAATCTTCAATGGACCTTTAATTAATACAACACAGTCAGCTATACATAAAAAGGAAGATCGGAAAAAACTTGGAATCTTGGCAAGGATTTCTGGGATGATGCTTATAGGCATTATACATCTAAATATGAATTTTATGTGAGGATTTTCACCAATTAAATCTATTTATACTTCAAGCGTCAGGTAATTCAATAATTATTATAATCCATTTTTTTAGGAATAAATTATACCTAAAATAATATTTTTTATTTTCTTAGGTACATTCTTGAAATTTTTCATTATGGATATGAAATACCAGCCGCTATATAGGTTACGTAGATTGGAACTAATTGAAATTCCATTTCAAAAGAATTCATTATCAGTTTGATTTCAGTTTTATTCACATATTCTAAATTGATCCGAAAAAATTTATTGTTAATTAAGTCAATTGACAAGAAACTAATTGAAAATTGTAGTGTGTATAATCTAGTTTTAGATAAATTTAAACATATTAATTTAATTCCAATATTAAACACACCTCGATCCTCAATAATTGAAAAAAAGAAATAAGTAGCTTACTCAAATTTCTGCTAAATTTAATAATAAATGTATGGACCAGATACAATCAATATCTACAGTATACAAGTGAATCATATATTATCAATCCAGTATATTCTATTTCTAACTCTATACTTTAAGTGCAAGAATTATTATAGATGATGATTTGACAAGCCACCAGGACTTAGTCGAGGCAACATTCTAAGTAAACTAAACCTTTGGTAAGTCTCAAGAGACAATAATGTAGGGCTATTATACGTTGGGCCTTTAAATTTTGTGTTACATGCTTAAATTTTATTGGTTTAAATCATGCGAGAAGAAAAAATATTTTGTGTGAAAACCAAAGGGTTCAGAACCAGCCTTGACATGAATAGAAATAAAAATTACATATAATATTTTTAAAAGCGTTGATTTTTAAAACTAGATTTTTCTACAAATATATCTATACATATTGGCGTACGTTTTATTTTGCTCAGCTTCATGATCAAAATTATTTATTAATTTTTGATATTCATTTTGAGATATATTCATGTAATCTGGCATATAAACCAAAGCTTCATGGAATTGCTTTGCTGATTCTATTGTCTAAATAAATATATATGTATATATAGGTTAATAATGGAACATATTTAGTGTTAAGTAAAAAATGACATTAAAAATAGGAGTACCACAGGTGCTTACATATTCACCAAATCTTCCATACCATCCACCTAGTGGAACAATTACTTCTTTCCGTTCAATATCAGTTATATTGTCAATTGATCTAAGAAAATTAGGTATCCTTGATGTGATATCAATTCCCGCACCCTCCTCTTTCAGTTTTTTCAATACTACAATAAATTTAAAAAATCCAAATTATTAGTATAAATGTTTAGTTATCAAAAGTTATAAAACTCTTAATTAATATAATCATACCAGCATCTTGAACAAATTTTGTAGAATTTCCCTGATTTATGTATTTGTATTCGATTTCCATAATTTCAATCCATCCATTATGTTTCGTAACGCGCACCAATTCATGAATAACCTTTAAATATTGATCTTCGGTGAATGCCAAAAACATTAATGCCATATGAACATAGTCAAATGTTTCAGAAGGAAATGGAATTCCATTTAGAACATTATGCTCAAGAAATCCGACGTTGTGAGTTCGATCATGTTCTTGAGGGAAATTATTTGGCACAATATCTATACCCACAAATGTTGACTTTGGAAAGTCGTTCGCTACATCTAGGATCCAATAGCCTGCTTCACATCTGTTTAAATAAGTAAATATTATTAGAGAAAAAGCATTACATATTAAGAGCGTACATTAATTATAATTATGTATATACCCAACGTCAAGAACGCAGACACCACCATTTTCTAATATCTCTTTGACAGGAGCAGAAATATTTCCTTGCCATATATAACGTGTTAACATATGACTAATCATTGGTCGTTCAATCTCAATTCCATCCGAAGGTTGAAAATAATTTGCTTCATGATGATTTAAAAAGTTTCTTCCACCGATTACTTTAAATTGATTTAATAAGTTTTCTGTTACGGAATTAACATCTAAATCGTTGGAATTTTTAAATTTCTTTAAAATGTCTTTTTTTTGTTCGGATTTTAAAGTTATCTAACCGGAAGTTCATTTGTACTCCACAATATCGAATGTTCTAATTTGAATCTGAAAATGAGCCAAGATTATCGATATACTGCATTTTTTTTTCGTCAAGTTCTGCGCACATAATTATTGATTTACAAAAAAGGACTAAATTAAGAATATTACATAATCAAAAAAGAAACCAAAAATC